CAGATCTGAGTCAGCAGGAAGATTTTCATGAATATTTTTGCTCAAAATTTACCCTGAATTCTTGTTATATATGTTTAGCCATTCAAATGAAGTCATCCCTAAAAGGAGATGTTGACCTTACCGTGACTATCCTATGCAGTGTATGCAGTTCATGTTAATTATAAAAATGAAAAAAAGAAAAAAGAGTATTAAGTGCTTTGTGTTCTTTAATTTTGTAACATAAGATTTACTCTGCATGTTGCATTTACAAATTAAATAAAATTAGCTGTCTTTCTGTACCTGTGTGGCTTGAACAACCATTGTTCGTGCTTTTCTTCTTGAACTCTCAACAATTTCAGTTATATGACTTTGAGATACAGGTTCTTGATTGTGGCAAACTGAACAATTGGAAGAGCTGGCCTGACCACTAGGATCATCAAAATTAACCATGGGCTTTAACGACAAAACAGAGGAGCTTCCTTGATATGTGTTGCGTTGTCTCAAGCAAAACAAAGCAGAAGAGACCTGCAGAAGTGCAGTAAACTCGTGCAATTGTAAATTACTGGAATGAGGTGTAAAGATAGATAAGGGATTAAATTTGCCAAGTGGTCAATGAATCCATACCTGTTCATTGGCTTCAGTTAATTGCTTTAGTACTGAAGCATAATTTCTCCTAAAAGGTTCTGAATCCTTCACCGAGCTGTCTCCATATTTCTGGCTCTCTGATACCCCATCGTTCATGTGCTTCAGTTCAGACAATACAAGTTCCTGAAAGTTCGAAATAAACTCGTTTTAGAAAAAAGGATATTTTAAGACATTCTTTAATTGTAACAAGGACAATGGGGAAAAGAATGAGATTAGGGCAACACCTTTTTGTCCAGAGCACGATTCAACTCTGAAATAGCTAATATGTCAGCTTCTTTTGAATGGACATGTTCAAGAAGGGAAGGTTGAGAACTTGATGCTAGTTGGGCGTTACCAATCTCACTGCAAACAACTTTCAGTTGCGATTTGGAGCTTGAAGAAAAACCCTACGAATTTTAGGAGGGGAAATAAGACAAAACTATTCACGGACCCTTCAGGATAAAAGTAGTATGAGTTTATCCATCAAAAGCAAACAACATGAAGAAATATTACCATTATGAAAAGCCAATCAAATAAAACGAAAAAATAAAGATAATGATATAACTTTGGAGTTGACTTGATACAACTTAGACAAATAGAAGAATTTAACTTTTTAGCAGTTGGGAACTGAGCATTAACTCTATTATGAAATACAAACTCCTGGATGGACCGATGGAGAATTTTCTCTTAAGTCTCTAATTCAATAAAACATCACAAAAGTATTCTTTCCCTTTCCCTTTACTGTTTTTCTCACCAGTCCCTGTGAGAACTCCGAATATGTTTCTGGCTTCCTAACATTAAGCAAGGAGGTAGACTTTGACAGTGTCTGAATTGTATCACCTCCAAATATTCAGAGCTAATTTGGCTTATTAGAAATTAAGATAGATACAATACAACCATCTATTGCCATTTACAGAAATGAAGCAGGACCCTTCTCTCCAGAATCATTATTGCACTCAATAATGCTTCCAAGCTTCCATCCAAAAGACTTCAGATGTATCAATTCTTCCTTCAGCTCAGAATACTCGTACATTAATTTCTATAAGTTTGTATTGTGGGAATATACACTCAAATTATGATAAAGCAATATCCCTATTCTTTTTACGGCAATTGTTTTCTTGTCTCACTGATTGACAGACACTTGTACTTTAATTTCTATAAGTTTGTATTGTGGGAATATAGAATCCGGATGTATGAGCAAGAATATCATAAGCCACAAAACCAAGTCCTAAATGTTAGAAAATATCTTTTTAAAAACAATTCAGAGAGAATAAGAGAAAGAAGAAAATGATCCTTTGGTAAGTGATTTGTGATAAATATTAAAACTTGGGCAGTGCCTTGTTCATTGAGACCAAGGCCTTTGCCTTCTTCAACTTTTATATTTTTTTATAATCTTGCACTTTTTATGATTTTTTAAAATTATTGTATTATTATTTTCTTTCTCTGAACTTGGCCGCCTTTATATAATGATGTTTCTAATGATCTAGCCAGCCCACTGATTAAATGACCCTTCTTCAAATTAGGAAATACTGATAACTGAACTGATGTGCATTTTACACCTTTAAGGATTTGAAAAATGAAATCATAAAACAGAATCAAATTCCATCTCGAAATAAATTTGTACCTGTTTTGATAAAGTACTGCTTCTGTGCATATTGGGGGATATATGAAGATTTTTTAAGGTATCCAAGTTCTCACTAGGGGACAATATTGTGTGCCCAGCAACCTTTCTCTGTTTCAGTTTTCCATTAGGCTTGAGCTCATTCAAGTTCTCGTTTATTTGAGCAGAAGAAATATTGTGTTGTATAAGAGATGTAGGCATATTTTCAAATGGATAAAAAGGCATGCAGTCAATATCCTGCAATACAAAAATGTGTCCAATTGTGCTATTAATAAAGAAAACTGTGAAGCGATCATACTATATTAGGTAACAGGATGAAAAGTAAGATGAGAAGAGCAATGCAGATATTCAAAAACCTATGACAATCCTTAAGGTTATTTTAAAGACTACAAATTTTTTCAGGGATAGCAGCACCAGATCATAGGATTATATTGAGGATTGTATGATTCTAAGATCTATGACAAATAAACAAATATATACTGTTAAATTTCAATGTATATTGAAAAAGCTAAACAACAATAAATTTTAAAGCATAAGAGAAGGATACAATAACTTAAGTTGACATAACAATATTTTTTTTTGGCAGAATGATACAATCTAGGAAGAATGGATGACATGGGAAAAGACAAATATGACACAACACATGCACAAAGGAAACAAAATTTGTTCGAAAAATGGACACAACACATAGTGAAAAACACATGAAATTAATATATTAACATAAAAAAACACAAATCTTAAATTAAAACAAGGGAGCAATGCTCCAAAAGTCAGGCACTAGTCATTGGTGATGCACTAAAATAACTACCATTTATCTAATTATTGTGGTACCCCACCCATGTAGCTATAAAAATCCAAAATGTAAAAGCAAAAAAAGATATACAATGCATCGAGGAGAATCTAATGGTGTCCAACTAATGGTCAACATGGATACATGCTTGACACCATTATGTTGGCAAGTTTGAAGTGTTTGAGCATCTTTGGGTCCAAGAAATTTAATAAACAATTGAGAAAATTCCATAAATTCCAGAACAGGCTCGTCTCCTTGGTATTTATTGGCTAGATCCCTTCCATAAATGCTATATCATAGTATTTATTGTCTTTTAGTACTCCTTTGTGCTTCCAATGTGCTGCAAACTTTTAGCATCAACAGGTTTAGTACATGCACTCACAGCAAGCTTTGGAGACAAAGCACAAAATCTCTTCTCAATCAAGGTATTTGAGTTGAGATTTGAGAATTCAGCTTCCATGCCAAAAGCGTCATTAGAAAAAAACTATTTTTGCTCCAATATCACCCCTCTTCTTTGCCCAAATAGTTAGATTTTACCAACCAAAATGATCTTGTAATAATTCTACAATAATCCTAAAGCAAAAAGATTTAGGATCCATTCATTACTGCCCTTCTAAGAATGAAGTGTTTTTTTAATTAAAAATTGTTGAAAAAGTTTTGTAATAATTAAAAGTTTTTTGAAAACACAGTTTTAATGTCTTCCTCAAAAGCTAGAAAGAGTAGCTGCTTGGAAAAAAAAGTGAAATCAGAAAAGCACTGTTTTCATGATTTGTCTAAACACTCCCTTAGTATATATTGCATTAGATTGTCTTACCATGTGACAACAAGATCATATTGTCCAAAATAGGGATTTTAATGAGATTGGTCTTTATAACCACCATTGTACTTTATATAGCTACCTCCAAAATGTGTTCGCATTTTGTCAAATTACAAATGCATGTTGTAAACATCTAATTTGACAAACAAAAACACCTACTCATTGTTAGATTTCATCTTAAAACCAATGGTGTTAAGTGAAGTAGCTTAATAGATATAAGTACCCCCAAGAATTGAGGCATCCAATGTGAGACTTCCTAACATTCACGGTATCCAATGCCTAAGTTTCCCCATTCCTGCCATTATCGTTTGATGATAGATAAGAAAACATACCATGACAAATTCAACCCCAAGTTCAGGCTGGTCAAACTGAACCCTATACCTACAATGGTCAACAGTTAGTACACTTCCATCATGAATCTCCCTCGTCTTTGGATGAATAGCAATAACACGCTGCCCAACAATTAAAGGCTGGGCCAAATCAGTAGGAAGTCCTTCCTTGGTACCAGCAAGAATTTCAGCATAATGTGATCTAACAGATTCCCTGTATTGATTAAGTTTATGTTTTTCTTCTATCAAAAATTGCTCGGAAAATCTTCGTGGTCTGCCAAGAGAACTGCATAAGAGTAGCATATAGATGAAGTACTTTATCCAGGACCAACTAAACCCAAAAGCACAAAATAGTTATAAGAATGTGGATTGCAAAGATTAAACTCACGACCACTAGCTCATAAAGCCTCTAGTATCATTTCAGTGACAAGCTTAACCCAAAAGCTTAAGCCATCCAGCGGAGGCATATGAATGCTTTTATATCTCTAATAGACTTGGGAGATGCATTTGGGTAAACAGCAAAAGAAACCACTTATCCAATAAGCTCAATATAATATGAGAACTTACATCATAAATTTAACCTTGAAGTTTGTTGAAATAATCTAAAAACTGCTTTTTTTGATAAGCTTCACCAAAATGTTCATCGAAACAAGCTAAAACAAGCTTATAGGAGTCATGTTATTTTTGTAAACCCCAACAAATTTGTAGAAGCTTTCCAAATGCCCCCTTAATTATGAAAGCAATGATTGTACAGGATGAAGTAAACATATAAGCATTTTGAATTAAATACCTTCTAATGACACCCCACTCAATACGAGTCAATCTTGGAACATGACCCAATCCAACATGGTCTAAGTACTCCACAAACTCTCTCTTTGAAAACCAAGGGTAATCAATAGCACTATAAAACCACTCAAAAGTGCACCATCGTCGCATTTGATACGAAGACACACAATTGATAAGCTTTCCCTGTAATAAACAAAAGAAAAATTACTTTTCCTGTTATAGATTAAAAATTCAATTGATTGCAATGAGTACAAATAACAGATTATTAACCTTTTGACTAGAAGAGCGATTTTGGAGAGAAGCATTCGATTTATTACGTTGACCACTAAAAATATTTCTAGACACAACCGAATCTTTTTGTACCATTGGTTTTGGTTTTTCCATCTTTCTTCTTGGCCTTACTCTGTTTACTGGACTGACTTGGTTAGTTGATGAAACCTTCATGGGCGAAAAAGATGAATCATCCCCTTGCCCTTTGTCATTAGTGCTAGAAGACGGATTTCCTGGGGATTTCACAACTTTTAGTTGTCTTGAATGTGCAGTAGAAACAGATGACCGCTTTCCTTTAACCATGGGTTTCTTCACCTCATCAGTAGCCTACATTGAAGATAATATTTGGACGTTCTAAGTAGCCACATGAAAAATAGTAATATACAAGATAACATCAAATGCAATTGGTAAGAGGTACTTTTTGGCAAAGCAAGGCATCATAGATTTTTAGGAAGTGATATATAAAATAGAAAAGGAAAGCAGTTAGAATACATTTATAATAGAATGAATCATGTAAAATATAATAGATACAGATGTATTATAACTATTAAAAAGCCTTCACCTAGCAACTTAAGCTTTGTAGGCAAAGGCTTATCAATGGTTTTATATCTCATATCTAACAGGTACTGTAACACAGCTCTTCTAAAAGCTAAAGTTGTTAGGTAAAGACTCATTAGTAGTTTTATTACACATCTCAAACCACAAGTACATGTTGGAAAGTCGCCTTAATTGTGGTCATCCTAGCCTGCCTTAGTTGCAGCTTCAAGGGTGGTAGTTTAATCCCACATTGATTAGATATATGGCTAAAATAGAGCTTATAAAGCCGATATTGCGGTAATTGATAGGGTAACCCTCACCTTACAAATCAATTTTGTAGGATTGAGTTAATCCTAAACCCACACTCTAGGAATGTGGTTTTGGGCCTAATTCAGCCTCACAAAACGGTTTGTAAAATGAGGACTGTCCAAGCCTTATAAGCTCTATTTTAGTCATATCTCTAATTGAAGTAGGACTAAATTACCACGCTTAAAGCTACAATTAAGGCAGCCCCAAGAAAGGCCACAACTAAAATGGGCAAGGGTGACCACAATTAGGGCAACATTTCAACACTCTCCCTTAGACAGAGCTACCAGCCTGGAGTGTGGCAATTGCCAAATAAGGGTGGGCCAACAATGGATCTAGGATAAGCTCTGATATTATTTTCGAGAGTGGATTTGAGTCTAACTTAATCCTACAAAATCAACTTGTAAGGGGAAATTTCCACTTATATACACATAATTGATCATATCACTAGTTGATATGGGATCTCCAACAACACGTATAGAAGTTATAATGTTTAGAGAAAATATAATGAGTTGGGAAAAACAATTACATGCATGTGTTACACCACGCTAGAAAAATTAAAAGGTAAATACTTATGCATGAGACATGAGTTGTGAACATTATCGTACTTTATCTAAATATCAGGGATGAAGTGAGGAAACAATTTGTCATCAACTTAGACTGGATTGCATGTTGTAACACATGCAAATAGCCAACACATAACACCCATAAATTGGGTGCAACACATATTTGATCCTTATATTTGACTATACTTTCAAATTGCCTCCTTTTATATAATATCAAATTTTAATTTTGACCTTTACATGTCAAATGTTTTCAAGTATGATTATCACATTCCAGACAGAAGTCCTCACAAATATTACAAGCAAGATCATTATTTTCCATCCAAAATTAACAGTACCATCTTAAGTTGCATCCAATTGAAAAAAGAACAAAACAAGGACCATGTTAGAAAAGAAATAAGAGCCAAATTATATATCATTCAGGCTTTAATAATCAACAACTGCACACCTTGATTTTCTGGGAACCACTTAAATGAAAACCAGTATGAGTTTCATCATTCTGCAACAAATATCAGATAGAAAATATTAAACAAGAAACCACAAACTATGCAGTTGAATGCTGGAAAGTAACCAATACTTACTTTCAAGTTAAAAGATTTTTGTTTCCTTTTCCTAAATCCTGCATTAAGCTGGTCTGTTCCCTCTGATTCAGGAACAGCAACTCCATTATTGAAGAAAACCTTGCCCGATTTACTTGAAGCAGTGCTTTCAATCCTAGGAAATACATTATGTGTTTCCATTTTAGATTCATCAACAACATCATGGTTTCCTTCCTTGAACTGTGCAGACGACTCTGAGACATAGAAAACAGTACAGGTTGGTGCATATAACCACAACCATTCAAGTTAAATAGTAGTCCTTGCATTTTTATTGTTTATTCAGATTGATCTATGGGAGATGGGAGAAGGAATAATTTAAATAATATTCTAACATTAATATGTTATAAATAAAGCTTATATGTCTTTACCAGTGTCGGGATTTGTGACTGGCAGCATCAAAGAGAGATCAGCCAAAGTTTTCAGAGCATCAAAAGCGGAACCTTCATCTACAAAGAGAAAAGAAAGGGAGAAGGGAGTGGAGGATAATAGCATTAATAAAAATTGTACTGTAAGTTGGAATAACAGGAAAAACTTGAAGCCTAGGAAAGTGGTCAGGGGAAAATGTACAAGACACACTAACATGAATTACAAAATTCAAACAGAATGTATAACTATTCTCATCCAACAGAGTTTAAGGTCTAACTAGTATATAATGGTTTGAAGTTTAGAAGAGAGTAATAATATGCTACAGTTTGTATCATGTAAACATCTAATTCAATAAATCTATATTGAATCCTATTCAATAATGAAAACAAAAAGGAAATAAACACAGAAGTTTCTTCTCCAATTGATTTACTTTTAAAGCTCAAACATCGCCAACTAGGCATGTAATACAGGACTGTGTTGCACCAAAATCATGAAATTCTTTGATAACAACTAAAAAGGCTCAAGTAATACAAATTCACTTCATGCTGAAATCTTACAATAAAGAATTACGCCAATATGGACTTCTTATGCATGTTAGTATTTCAAGGACAAAACAAAATTTAGCTCCATAGTTCCATTCCAAGAAAAAATGTTATAAAACATATTGGAAGATGAGAACATGTTACAAAAATAAAATAAGATATAACCATAAAACCAAAGAGGCATATAATAATTCAAACATCATGTTTAAATGGAACATGTATCCTTTTATTTAAATGAAGAACAGCAACATATTCTGGAGAATGAGGTCCTTCTTTCATTATTTATAAAAAGGACAACCAACTTTAAGAGGAAGGGAAATTAAAGCAATTACCAAATACCTTTTTCTAACAGTAGCCTTTTACTTTTCATCCTGGAACCCTTGTAAGAGGACCTTGTATTCTTTGCATCTGCAAAATCTGGGTCAAAATTGGATTTGATAAAACTAAGAGTTTTGCCATCATCTGTCCCACTGGAGGCTTCCTTTATGTCATTCAAATGCTTGTTTAAATTCTCCTCTGGCTCATTCTTCCTGTATTGTTTTATTTTCTTTTCTTGATTCCTTCCTCTTCCGGTATTTTCTCTACCACTTCGATGAATTGTTTTTCTAGAATAATCTTCATTATTACCTTCAGTGCTTCCTAAACTCAACTCAGAACTACCATCATCCAAATCAGAACTGCCAAACTTGGCTCCAGCAAGTTCTGATTTAGGATGCTGAAAATAGTAACTACCTAGAATAAGTATCCAATTTAAAGAAATAACAGAAAAAGTTTACTGATGTTGTTATATAAATACTTATTACCTTCTTCCCACTTTTCAGACCTGGTGAGGGCAAAAATTTTTTGTCGGGTGATCCAGAAATTTTTGAAGATCCACCTCTTTGTGATGCCTCTGCCAATGCTAATGCAATCTTATGAGTAACATCATTAGTATCAACCATTTGTTTGGAGCCAGGCCTGGCAGATGAAAAAAACCGATCTCCATTATCTTTTCCGATAGAATATGAAATAGGGACACGGGGAGTCCTTTTTCGAACAGCATGAGACCTAATTCCTGACAAAAATCACAAACAATGAAAGGTTAGATTGTTAATTGATTTTATTTAAGCAGGAGAAACAATCACTTCTAAAGTTCATATATATACAAAAATATAATAGCTTCAAAGCTTAGCAACCTGACACGCTGAGAGCAAGAGGAAAAATCATCCAAACTTCATCAGTCTTATTGTAATAATTAATGGTTGGAAAAACAAAAAGAAAATGTAGAGGCACATAATAAAATTGAAACAAAGTAATGTCGCATGTATTTTGACATATTAACCCACCAGAATGTCTATTCTTCAACAATGACAGGCAACCATCACCTGATGCAACAGAATGTGACTGAGAATTATCTGAAAAGTGCCCATCTAATGCTTTATTGTCACTTGGATGCTTTCCCCGCAAACGCTTTTGAGACCTTTTAGATATTTCTGCATCATCAGTGCTTTCTTTACCACTGTCACTTCCTCCCTGCCAATTAAAATTATTCATATTTTATTTGCTAATGAATAGTTGTAAAAAAATTGGCCATGTTACCTATTGCAATTTATACAAAATATATAATATAACCAATGCTAATCCATAACAATTGCAGGAAATATATCTTTCTTTCATTGATTTATTTGCTGCCAGGGGGGTATGAAGGCAAAGATTCCAGATCAATATATAAATACCTCGTAAAAACAGCTTTAGATAGATAAAAGCTAAATACTACTCTAGTAAGAATAACAAGCAGTTCATGTATTATATGTTAAATAAATCCATGCATTGCATGTTAAATGCATTTCAGTTTTCATAGGAATTAGTATTTACGAAGTAGCACCCATTTACTCTCTGCCTAGTATATACTCCCCATTTTGTATTAAGAATCTATATATAAAGAGATGTTCTGCTTAAGTACCATGCAACCAATCCATTTCACTAGAGCAATTCCACCTTATCTCTCTCTCCCTTTCTATTTCTCTTTCTCACCCTCTAAATTCAACACCTCACCTCTGCCACAATAGACAATAAAATAAATTCCTTTTGAAATCAAAAGCATTATAAAAGTAACCAAACCCTTAGTCTATTGGTCAGAAAACTTAGTTGGGAAACCTATATGAAAAAGATTTATAATGAGGAGGGGGAATCTTTAATATCACAGCTACCAAAGAGCAGCCACAAGAATGTTACAAAATCAAGAAGACCATCGTAAATGTACTGTAAAACTTGATAAAAGTTTAAATTCATTCTTACCAGGACACTATAATGATCTGTCATCATTGCTATCAATCCAACAACAGAAGCAGTACCCTCTGGAAGAGATAAATATGCCTAAAAATAAATCCAAAGATTAGCATGCATTATAAACAATATACTACACTAACTAAAATCAGCACTATTGAGATTTATGTGTTTTAGACTCTTTTTAATTGTAAATAGTGAATACATGGTGTATGCATTTCAGAAATATCAGTAAATTAATCAGGATATTGAAGCTTACTGCATTTACCTTGTTCATAGTGTACAGGGCCTCCACCATTTCCACAGATCTATTACGTACTGCAAGAGCAACCTGTAAACATAGGTCAAAATGTCACTGAAAAGGATGTGTTTAGTAATAACATTGCACTGAGAAATTGCAGTGCGACATACAAGGTAGATTCAAAAAATAAGACAAAACCTTGATCCTGCAACTTGCTGTGGAATTTTAAGCAGTATTTACTAAATTCGTAGCCCATTTATTAGACAAAAAGCTTGTTGTGAGAGTTGATCCTTAACCTTTATTCAATAAGAAGCACCTAATAACTAAAAACTACAACTAACCTTCTTCCAATCTTTCCCATATTTACGGTAAGCATCATAGAAATGCTCGAGTTCCTCCTTATTCCATTGTGGCCCTAACATGTCAGCCAATTTTCTCTTCTGCATATCATTGAAATTTGAAAAATAATTATAAGTTAAGAGATAGAATTTATTATGCCAGACCAATTTAACCAAATTTTTTTAACACCTTACATTGACAAAATATTTTATAATGACTTATTGACTATAGCACTCAGGCAGGCAAAAAGAAAAAAGAGAAAAGGGGAAATTTTTTCCTTTATTTTAACTAGGTGCGTTTTTAAGAAAAGAATTTCTTTTCAAAGAAATAAAGAAAAAAATTTACCTTCTGAATACCAGGACTTGCCTTCAGCCTATTTTTGCTTGCATTCTCTGAATTTTTGTCTTTACTAGATGCAGCCTCACGAACATTAGAAAACCTCTTATTTACACTTCTAGATTTCCTAGAAGGAGCCATAACTGATTTCCTTAATTGTCTGAAAATTACCAGAAAGGCAGAGGAGTGAGAAAAACAAAATGTTCAAAAAAATACATATAGTTAGGTAAATACACCTGAACAGTTTGGCAGCAAAAAAATAATAATTGTATCCCACCATGAGAGAGAGAAAAGAGAGAGGTCATAGAAAAGAAGTTTCCTTACTTGAGAACCTAAAGCTATTCAAACTGAAATAGCACCTTTTTTCCCTCTATAAATAATGTTGACAAGGAATAAGAGGTTCACAAATTGAAATGGCATCCTGTAAATCAAAAGTAAATAGCCTGAAGTCTTCTAATGAAGATTGAAGAATATAGCATATTTTACAATGAGGTAGTAGTGGGTATTCAAAAAAAATTTAAAAAAAAATCTGTTATGAATGCATATATAATGCAGGTTTTACAACTACAATTATAGTGCACCATACGTCAAAACATCACGATTCAAGCTATTAATGCTAACATAAGAATCACTTTAACTGCAAAGTATTTGTCCGTACTATTACTAGATCAGGTGGTAGCAGAGTGTACTAGGCAACCTACAAACAAATCGAACAGAAATTAGAGTCGTATCTTAATACTCATTTAGAGAAAGAAAGCTTGAAAATAAAACCTTGACACTAAATAAAGCAACGATATGTTGTTAGCAGAAACTCTTACTTTGGTCAATAAACATACTCACATAGAGCAAAATGAATATGGAAATACTCTAAAACTGGAAAGAATATAAAGATTGAATAAAAATAATATTCGAAATAATATATTAAAGAGAAAAAAAAAATAACAAGATAATCTCGTCCTCTTATTAGAAACCAGACAAGCTAGTTAAGGAGGTCCAACTGCTCATGCTCTTTGTAGAGAGTGCATGCACAATGATAACCAACAAAGGACAACAGGCGTTAGCCCCTATTGAGCCGAACTACGTTTATACAGAGATTTTCTAAGTCCATTTGAAAAAACAGTTGACAGAATACTGAAACACATAGAAATGAGAGCATCCCAAACTCTCCAATCTCAACCATTCCTCGTTTCAAATCACCTGCATAAACTTGATTCGCAATCTTTCGCCAATTAAAATCCAGAAACACACAAACATGCAGACACAACAACAACTATCAGAAAATCCATATCGAAACTTGAATTTCAATTCAGCGATAAGAGAGACGAAAAGGAGAAGCTTCAGTGAAAAGCGAAAAAAAAAAAAAAGTAAAATCACAGCTCCACACTGCAGTTTCTGAGCTGAGAGAGAAAAGAAACAGAAAAGGAAAACCTAGCAAAGGCATGCGAGAAGAAGGAGAAGAAATTCAAAATCCACAACCAGAAAGGAGGTGATTCAGTTAAATTATCCCTAACCCCGCATTAGAGTTTAGAAAGTGGAAAGCAAACGCGGAAACGGAATATTGGGCGAAAATTCCCCTTTGATCTAGCGAGGCGCGATTGAAATTGGGAATCTGAGAAAGAAGAAAAGCCCTCGACATTTGGAAAGAGAAAATCAGTGAAAGGGAGTTTAAAAAGAAGTGAAGAGAATCTGAGAGAGAAGGAAGAGGAAGCTCACCGATCAAGGAGAATCTGGATTGCGAATGGAAGCTGCGAGAGAGGGATCTAGTGGCAGTGAAGTGGTCGATGTAGAAATGCTGAGAGAAAAGGATGATGAACAACTTCGACTTGTGATGGCGTTGTTGTTGGCGTAAACAAAAACAAATGAATTCGGGGGTATAACCGCGAAACTTTAAAATAATAGTACCATTATTTTTTTTCTTCTTCTCTTCTTTCCTTCTCTACTTTTTAAATAACGCCCTCCAATTTACTCCCCCACCCCAAAATAAAATTTCAAAAACTACACAAAACAATAATTAATATATATATATATATATATATATTAAAATAGCTATATTAAAAGCAACACACTTTATACTCTCATAACATTGATTAATATGTAAAAAGAAAATAGATAATAAAGAAAAAACACAACAAAAAAAAAATTAAAATTCAATCATAAACTAAAAGATTTTCATCTCAAATAAATTGAATTCAATTTTTAATAAAGATGCATTCTACATCAATCTCTATCTTTATAATCTTCTCTAGTCAAGATGGTTACACTTGAAGTATTCCAGTTAAATAGAAGATCATTCACTTTCATTACTAACTAGTAAACTAACAATTAGTTTCTAACTTCTACTAGAATGGTTATTATGTTGTTCAGCAAATCAGAGTAAGGCTTTTTATGGTTATAATGCACATACTTTTTTCTTTAATAGATTTCACAATTTTATAATATGTAGTTCTCGTTTTGTCATTATTGTCAGAGATATTGTAATATTAACCAATAGAGAAATGGGTGAATCTCTTGATAATTCAAAACTTGTTTGATCTCTAATCTCATTCCATTGATGAACTTACACACCTAATGCATTGCATCCTTTCACTTTCGCGTTGTAATGTATAAATAATATATATATATATATATATATAATCAAATAAATAATAATAAAAACTTTGACAACTCCTCAAACTTGACAACATACTTTGGCATGATCATATTCTTTTGCTTGAGTTCAAATAACCATTCTTTATTGTTGTGATATCCTCATGAAAGTACTTCTCTAAAAAATTCTCTTTGAAAGACCTTTCAATAAATCACTACTTGTTTAGTCTCCAGGAGATAACGGGTATTCTTCCACCAATATTTAGCCTTCTTAACAAACATGAAGGTACCGAAACTTGACTTTAGTCTAATTAAGCATGTCATTGCACACAAAAATCTTCTTGGTTTCCTTTAATCAATTATGAGCTTTGTACGAGTTGAAGCCTCCTTTGAAAGTATGTGGATATTCCTTTGAAAATTATCCAACCCAATGTACCCAGCAACATTACCAACACCTCCAACATTCTAATTCCCCATAACCCAAGTTATGACCTATAGAGTATCAATAATTGCAAGATTGTTCCTACCAATCATTTACTTTCACAAGCCAATGAAGTCATAGAGAAATAAACAAAGTGGGAGATAAAAAAAAGGTGAAGCAAACAACATCAAAACAATTCAAATAGTACATATATGGAAACATGAAAAATATATAACATATTGGTCAGAAGAGTCAACTTGCTCTAATAGCACTAAATGTGACTCATTTTATCCTTTGATGACATTAATCAATACAAATAAAACGAACTTGAGGAATGGAGAAAAACATGTGTTTTTTCTTCAAACGTAAGGTGAAGAATTCACATCATAAATGAATTGAATTCAAATTTTAATAAAAGCAATGGACATAATAAATAAAGTTATAAGACTTGAAAAGTCATATAAATGTTTTCAAAACCAATATATATGTGTGTGTGTGTAACACGTGCTACACCCTTTATCCCACATATTATCATAACACATAATTCAATAAATAAATAAATAAAAGATTTCCAAATTGTTATGCTAGATAAACTACATTCACATGGGTGGAAGCATCACATTACAAATAAAACTAAACAATAAGAAAAATTGTATTCACAAAGTAAATTACAATGTTAAGAATCAAAATCTATTAGCAATCCAACTAATAGAAACAAGTTCTAACTTAAACAATCAATTAAAAACATAATTCCCTAGTTACTACCCTTATGTCATGTCCTGTTAGAGCACTCCTAATATAAGGTATAAACCTTGTTTCCAACCTCATCATCCTCATGACGAACCTCACTTGCAAACATACACCAAAAGACATCAAAAGAAAAGGAGGGTGGAGATATCTCACTTCGACTACTGATGTAAGCTATGGTCAGGTAATCATACACAAAATAGGCAAAAAAATATATATTTACATGTAAGATCAATAGGTATCAATATACAACTTTAAATAATGCGCATTTCAACACATATCATATTAACAATTTATAACCAACCAAGATACAATTGTTATGTTTATGAGAATGCAATGGACGATGACAATCCTAATCTATATGCATGTGGTGTTAGTAAAATGATTGTCAACTGTTAAGGGTTGCTCGAAGGCCAAATAAGTGTAGTCTAAGAGACCATGTTAAGTCAAGTCATTACAACACTATATACTATGAGGATATACACTAGAGAGTGTAGGGATAACAATGTTGCACAAGTTATGTTCCATGCACACAATGGACAAAATTGGGACTCTCAAACCTAGTTATCTCAAAGGTCATGAATCGATAAGCTTTTACACAAGGAAGATATTACCTTGCTACATATTTTGCATCCTACCCATTCAAAAACCAATTGATGCACATGATGCATGTCATACAATACCCATGCAATTCCATATTCAACACATTCATCAAAACATGCTTCATTAATTGTATCACACATTCAGTGTAAACAACGTAGCAAACACAATCAGTTGAACAATCTCGGCCAAACTTTTACATCGTATGACCATCACATGACCCACACGTAGCACATCACATTATTATCACACACACATGCACAACACGTTACCATCACATATACCAATTAGCAAGTCTTGATATTTAAGGTCAAATCGTAAACTATTCACTCAACTCATCACTTATTCATTATTGTATCTCTATTAATATTACGAATCATGATCCTAACACTCACTACTAAAATACCTCAATTAAAGTCAAACACTTAAAGGATAAAGTCATCAATAAGATCACACTTAAAGGGTAAAGGGTCCCAACTACCACTCATAAACTATATTTTCATAACTTATTATTTTATGACCTCATGTGGTCCAAACATGTTATATAGGGTTATATACATTTATATACAACTTATATGTTGACCTCAAAAGTTTATTTTGTCATCTACTATTTAAAAAAATTACAAAACTACAGCGTTTTAGTCTAAATTTGAAATTTTCACCTCCGCTCGCTAATTTGATCATAACTTGAATCTTAGACCTCATTTTTAGGTGATTCCTATGACATTTGAAAGCTACCATCTAAGACTATAACTTTTATGAAGACTACAAAATTTAATTCAAACTTTAATCGAGTGCATGACTGTGTATAAAATTCAGCATGCTTCACAATAAGCACGACTGGGTGCATAACACTTACACTTAACAATTGTTTCTCTTTATAGGTTCTTACACTTAGCACGAACCAACTTACGCTTAATAACAAAATAATTATTTCTCGTTATGGTCATGACACTTAGCTAGACTTACTTTTTCGTAGTATCGAAGATTGTAAACTTATATATACTTAATATATTTTAAAATATTTATTTATTAAATTTTTAATTATATAAAATAGATATTCATTTCGTGCATTGTACAAACTAAAATATTAAATTATGCAAATAAAAAGTTATGTTTTTTTTCATTTTTTCTTAATTTTTATGAATAAATGTACATTGAAAAAATACTAAAGAATTTAAATACTAAAATATAGTTTTTCTTTTGTACCATAGTATAACTAAAGTACAGTTTAAATTTAAACATAAAATGAATCTTAAGTTTTCGGTGTAATTAACGTATCAAGATTAAAAATTAAATTAGAAACATTTAAAACAAATGAAAATAAAAGAGTGATTAGTTGCCGTATTAAAAAGTAATTTTCATGTCTATCGGGTCAGCATAAACTAACAAAATTGTACCAATCGTAGTGAGTAAAAAATTTAATTACAAAAATTATAAACTATAACAATCTTTTTAAGGTGATATTAATTTTTAACTATAAAAACTTAATTAAAACATTAAAGAAAAAAACTATAGGAACTTACAAATAAGCCAATAAAGCAGTGGATGAACCTAATTGACCCTTAAAGTATGGACACGGAAGTTTATCGTGTTTCTTTCTATTAACGCTTGAACACTTCATCCGGAGTTTTTCATTTCCCTTTTGCTCATTCGAGCAAACACTTCATTGGGCATATCATTCTATTTTATGAAGAGTGAAGATCCATTTCCTAATTCTTAAATTTTAATTTTAAAACAGGTTTGCAACACAATTTTTAGTGGATAAATTTAAACTATTTCGTCTCAACCAAATAATATAAAAAAAGAAAAATACGAGGAATCATTTTTGCTTTTACCATAAACCAAAGCCATATAAGTCCCTTTTTGAACCAGTCGCAATGATGCATGTGTAAAAGAAAGCAGAATCAGTAAAAGGTGAAATCATTCAATGCTGAATCCCAATTTTACACATACAAACCAGTCTTAATCCCAGTTTATAAAATTGTAGGGGAAGTTCAAAACAAAGGCTCAAACGAGACTGGTCTAAAACTCTTTTTCACCATTAATGAGGAACTTTTAAAAGCGTGCATCAAAGTTGATATAACAAAGTAATTCATCGTTCACAACAATGCATTATTTACGACCATATATTTTATAATTCAAAATGAAAGATGCATAAAAACTGTCAAATAACGCATTTGACGTGGATATAGGAATTTGAGAATCAATGGGACTGTTGCCAAAACAGAAACAACTCTGAATTCAGTGAAGAAAACACATCAAGCAAACCACACTGAAACCGTCATCTCCTGCTAGCCAGAAAATACCATACCTGTTTTATTAAGAGTATATGTTTTATCTCAACAGACATAGAGCTACTTTTATGTATCAGCTTATTCTTTAAGAAAACAATGAACTAAGAAAACATAAATCACTCGAAACAACCTGCTTGACAGACGAGAAGAGCAGCATTCTATTCTGCCATAATGCAGATAGAATCTGACCAAGAGCAGCAAATTATGTACATAAATAAATATCAGAATGCCATTGAGGTTACCAAATAAACTTTCAAGTCAACCCTAATTTGCCAGGTTTATAGAATGCTCTAATTTCCTCACTTTTGAGGTCTGCTTACCTGTTTCACGAAGCTGTATTGTTCATCTCAAAAGACGGATGCTGAACTTCTAGTCTTCTACAGACAAGTCAACCAATTCCATAACAATCCAAGGGAAATAAACTATGTCCTAATAATGCATGTCAATCTCAATCAAACAATAACCTATTCTACCGAGATTTAGCACATCCAACATCTCTTCCATTTTTTTCAATCACCGGTGTAGTGTGTACCAATGATCATAGGTATCCACACCTTTGTACCTAACAGAATTTAACATACAGAAGCAGTTTCAAAAGCAAGCCAGCATATAGCAGTATTGAACAAGCAAACAATTTTACTAATCCACATGTCTGTGCAATCAGATCATTAGGAATAAAACGTCAACCTAAGAACAATTTACACACACAATTTCACAAAAATGATGAATCCCCTCTATCGCCAAAAAATATTATTTTTCCTTTATTCGGCTTCTGTATGAAAACATACAACAATATAAGAATTGAAATCTCATAAACAAGCTAGCATGATTGTTACTTGTTAGTCAGAGTGAGAGGCTGAGAGCCAAGACAAGGATACAAGCAAGATTTGTTCTTCTCCTTCTCCCTGTGAATGTCATGTATTGTCAACATTCATAGTTTCGTCGTATATCTCCAACAACCTCAAAGAATGTCCCTGAAAACGCGTGACAAACCTCTCCAAGAACAGTTTCTCAGTGACAAGGAACGGCGTGACGAGACTGGCACCCTTTTTCCTGAGACCCTGGGAGGCAAGGAAGTGCAAAACGGCAGCCCTGGGAAGCAACCTCTTCTGGAGACTCAGCTGGAAAATGATAGGATACCTAACAAGATCTTTAGAATCACCACCGAATGTATCAACCCAGAAGCTGAAAACAGCATGGATCTTCTCAGGGGAATTCAACATACAATAGGGTTGCCTTTTAAACGCCGAAACCACATCCTCCTCAGACCAGCCCCATTTCCTAAAGGCCTCAACTTTCTCACCCCACTTGGCTTTATTGACGGTCCGTTTAGCGAGAAGCGCGACGGAGAAGGTGGTGGTGGAGGAGTCAAAGCCCATTTGTTTGAGCTCGAGGATGGTGTCGGAGAGGTTGCAGGAGCAGAGAATGGAGGGCCACATGCGGAGGAGCTTGGCGATGGTGGAGCGCGTGGCGCCGTTGTCGAGGAGCATTTTGGTGTTGAGGGGGACGCGGCCGTCGGAGAAGAAGCAGGAGTTGCGGACGAGGCAGGCGATGATTTGGGCGTCGGAGAGGAGGAAGGCGCGGAAGAATTCGTAGGCGGGGACGATGTGCTTGTGGAGGCTGCGGGAGAGGAGGCGGGGGCCGGTGGTGACGACGTGGACGAGCTGCTCGGCGGAGGCGCCCTTGGAGCGGAGGAAGCGGAACTTGGGGGAGAGGACCTTGTGGGGGTCGCAGAGGAGGATGCGGTGCTCGCGCTTGATGATACTGCGGATTTGGGATTGGGAGAAGCCGTGCCTCTCCAAGAAGGATATCACGGAGTCCGGCTTCGACGGGGTCTCCAAGCGGAGCTTGCAGGCGGTGGCGGCCGCCGAGGAGGGGGAGAAGCCGCACTGGGTTATGAGGTACGACACTGTGAAGGCGTGCGGCTCGGAGGTGCTGCTGCTGAATTTGAATGCCTGTTTAGTTGAGGGGTGGAGGGGGCTGCGTGTTAGTGTTAGGGTTCGGAATGCGATGCAGTGCAGCTGGTGGAGAACACCTTTCTGAGTGTGGAAACTCGCCATGTCTCCTGCCGAGGGAAATCACCATTTATGTCAACTAATGTTATTGTTAGCAAATAAAATACATAATAGATATATAATTTGCGAAAAATAAAATACAACATAAATATATAATTGTCTTAAAAATTAGACACTGAAACGAAAGTCCAATTTGCGAGGTGTAGGATGCGAAATCATTTATTCGAGTCTCTTATATGGATCGAGCCCAATCTGCTGGGCTTCAAACCCACGAAAATTACGTTGACTAAATAAAGACGATCATATCTTTGTACTTTTCCTCACTGAAGCGCTGTGAAAAGCGGAAACCATTTTACGGGAAATGTGAAAAAAAATAAAGAAAAAGTATAATGTGAAATTGTGAGTTGAAAATTATATAAATAATTTAATATTCTTGAAAAAAAAAAAAAAAAAAAAAAAAAAGCATGTGTGCTAGTTAGAGACATGTTGATTAATAATTAATAATCATAATTATTTTTATTTACATTTTTTTGACTTTCTAGCACATGATAATTATTTTGAATCTAAATTAATTAACTCTAATCAAATTGGAGAACATATGAAGAAGAAAAATACTTCATTCTTTTTTTTTACGTAAACAAATTTTATTTATTAATTTAGAGAACATAAATCAGATAATATTTAAGTTTGATCCTTAGTAGCAATAATTTTTAATAAGATTTTAGTTACTTCTCGGTCAAATTAATATAAAATAAAGTCTCAAGATAATGGTGCAAAATAAATAATAATGATAATAATAATAATAAAACTCAAATTTTGTTGTTACTTACATCAAATATGCTATAATAATTAATGTACTTAATGAATAATTTTGAGTATAGAATATAAACAACATTAAGTAAGTACATGCATAAATTTCATCAATGATAGATCTATAAAAATTTTAATAGTGAGATAATGCTCATACTTAAATTTATAGTATTAAACATATAACTTCTCAAATTTTATATATATATATATATATATATATATCAAATTGTTTCTATGAAATTTCATATTATAGAAATATTAATTTTTTTCATTTTTAGTATATTCAAAAATATCTTTGTATAAGTAATTAAACAATTATATTGGATCTATTTGATTTCATCATTTTCTATTTTCATTTTTGAACAGAAATGTGTTTACTTTTAATTCTAGGAAAATTTTTTAAAAATATTTTATTTTAAAATATTTTCAAAAGAAGCCCAAAATTGTAAATGAAAAAAAAAGTTTTTTTTTTACTATTCTCTATACTTTTAAAATTGCAGTGTCATGTGATGGTAATTATTAAAAAAAATTATTAACTTGCTTCTAAGTTTGCATCTGTACACATAATTCAATAGACTTCAACTTTTTTAATACATCTAATTCAATCAATCTATCTTCTATTTTATTTTGTGTGCTTAAAATTTTTATTTGATGCTTGCGTATATATTATATATTAATATTAATATTATAAGATTTATTATATATAATCATTTTATAGGATTTTAATTACATAAGTTATTTGTATTATTTAATTATTTTAATTGAATATTGTTTATTAAATATGATTATTATTTAGTATGATTAAGTTCTGATTGATATATTTTATAAGTAGTGACGATTAATTAATTAATTAATTAATCATATTCATATATATATATATATATATATCATTTATAAAAATAAATATATATTTTTTATTTTGATATACAATTACTATTTTTTGGATAATAAATTATTCATTTGATAAAAAAAATATAAAAAACATTTGCATGTGTTTGAGAGTGAAATCTAACTATTATAAGAAGAGAGTATTCAAATAAAAATAAACATAAGATAGAGTGAAAATAGTGAAATATTTATAAAATAAAAATATTATTCTAATTCATATATAGAAAGTAATTTTTATTGTAAATTTTATACCAAAAATATTTTATGAACTTTTATTTAAAAAATAATCAAACCAATCATATTTTTCTAAATTTCAAAACTAGAAAATAAAAATATATTTTTAAAATGAAAATAGATAATATTTTCTAAAATCAAACAAACTCTTAACTATTCATAACCCATAATTTCATATCAAAATTTTGTCATTTTCTCAAAATAGTATAATATGAACTTAAATCAACCATCATTTCTTAATATTTTTTTACTGACTTAACTTAGTACTTTATTCGTCTCATAATAAGTATTGTCTTACATTATTGTACACAAACTAAAAAATTAATCTTCTTTATTATAAATAATGAAATACATTAAACATAATTTAAAGGAATATTACCAAGGATATAAATGAAAAGTGGTAATCATTACTACATTAAAAACTTAACATAACACTTATTTTAATTATTTTATAAACATGATACTAATTCTGAGATACACAGAATATTATATATATTATGAAAATATCTTTTAAAAAAGTTAATATATTATCTTTGACATTTTTTATAAAATAAAAATACAAAAAAGAGTGGAAACATCTAGTTTTAAGCATGAAAAATATAAGTATTTTATTAATATTAAATATGAATAAGTTAGTGGGCATTTGTCCACTCTATGTTGAACCTCAATCTGTCCATGAATTTCATTAAAAACAGAGAGAGAAACTACATGACTTTAATAATTGGAGTAATGAAAATTGTTTTCCTTGAAATTTGAATGGAATGCTAATATCTGAAAATATATTAAAGAAAAATGTGTATTTTATATTTTTTCATGTATAATATTTTTTATAATTATTTTCAGTAACAATTTAATATTAAAACACAAATTTTATATATTTGTATCCAAATTTAAAAAATTTAAAATATATTTAAAATGAGACTAATTTAATGATTGATAATGTGTGATTTTCAAATGATTTTATTTGCTCTAGTATATAATAATCTCTTACAAATAAATACATTATACCAATAATGTATATTAATTAATATAATTATATTTTTATGCTTGTTTTGAAATCAAAATTGGTGAAAAAAACCAAAATTAAAATTTTAAATCCATAATAAATATATTAATTAAAATAATGTATTAAATAAAATAAATTTAACATTAAATAATAATTTTGGTAAACCAAAAATAACGTTTTCATGTATAATATATTTTGGCGTTATTAAATAACATAAATCATTTTGGCATTATTTCATGTACATTTTTTTTATAATTATTTTCACTAGCAATTTAATATTAAAATACAAATTTGATATATTTGTATCCAAATTTATATATTTTAATAAGTATTAAAATATTTTTATCCAATTATTTTTATTATTTTTATATATTTGTTTTGATATAATATATAAATAATATTCATTTTCTTTCACTTATTTTGATATATCTGGAGGAATTTTTGATAAAATATTATTTCGTTAAAATATTTTATTTTATGAAAAAAAAATTGTTTTGATACATTTTTTATTTTAATTACTAAAATATTTTCATCCAAAAATTTCCTTTTATTTTGATAATTTTTTTAATTTATTTTCTGTAGCAGTTTATTTTATAGTATTGTGAAAATTTAATTATTATTAGTAATTATTAAAATATTTTTATGCAAATTTTTTCTCTTATTTTAGTATATCTGTTTTGATATAATATATAAATGTCATGCAGTATTCATTTTCTTCATTTAAATGACCGTGTACACATAGGTTATATTATAGGTAATAAAAAAAACTATTTTTGTGTGTGTACAGTTATCAACAATAACATTTTAAGTTTATATTAAAATATGTGAATTAAATATGAAGTTGTATTTATCCTATATTAATCCATTTTGGTAAAGAAAACAAGTTTTGACAAGCCGGCGAAATTGAAATTGGGGTCAAATTTGATGTGACTTGTTAAAATGGGAGTATGAATAGGTTTGAGAATGGAACCCATGGCCCAGGCACACTGTTCTATCTAAGTAAAACTAATTATTTTAATAGTTAAATTATAACACCTAAATACTAAAATTAAAGTCATATATTTAAATAAATTCATAATTTGATTCATAAGTATTTTTTGGATTATTTGTCAATGGTTTAAATATATTTTTAATCTCTTAAATTTATGATAAATTTATTTTTAATTTCTTAATTTTAAAATTAATATTTTAATATAATTTATAAAAATTTTATTTTAGCTTTTTAAGCCATCAATAACATATGTAAAAGTATCTGATTGAGACAATTGTACATTATTAATTGAATTTAATATAATATTTTTACTAAAAAGAATATTAATAGATAAATTTTATATAATAATATTTAACAAGTTTTTTTAATAAAATTTGAGTATAAAAATTAAAACAATATTTTTTAAAATTATAAGCTACAAAATTAACTTTAAATTTGAGAAATTAAAAATAAATTTATCTTAAATTTAAGAGACTAAAAATATATTTATGTATATTTTAATTTATATATTGTTTGAATTAATAAATATATAATAACAAAATATAACATTTAAAATATACAGATAAAAAATATTTCTTTAAAGTATATATAAGAAGAACAAAAAAAAAGAGTAAATGATATGAAAATAGTTAAAGTTAATCACCTATACGCTGTCAGTGTAAAGTTTTTTTACACCGACAGTTAATTAGAACCATTAATAGTACCTTTTTATCTGCTTATTTAATTAAATTAAAATTAAAAAATCATTATTAATGACTTTGATTAATTACTAGTATAAAAATTTTTACACCAATAATATATAAGTGATTAACTAAAAAATCTGACCGACATTTTGGTGGGTGGAGGGAGGGAAAGAATGGAAGTAACGTCCAAAAAAAGGAGTAATTGCGCAATGGCCAAAGTCATACTCATGCGCACCTGTACGGATTAATCTAATGTCTGCCGTCCGATCCTCCCATTCATTGTCACCAACTCCCTAATCCCTGTCACGTTTTTTTTGTTAAAATCTTTCCGCCACAATCGCGAGTTGGGACCACGTACCATACCATTCACTTTACCACAAAATAAAAAAATATTCCAGCTTCAATATTGTTACAACATCAACGCCATCTTATTATACTTTTTTTTTTCTTCTTTATATCACTAATTTCATTTTAGTTTTAATTAATTATTTATTTATTTTTCTATTTGAAAATGAAAATAAATTTGCTCCATCGTTGATTTTTGTTTAATATATTAAAAATACTAAATTTTATTTAAATTTTGGGAGAATATAATAAATTAGTATCTTAATTTGTATCATTCATAGAGTGAATATTTAATTTATATAATTAAAATTTAGAATAAATAAAATTTTTAAATATATAAATTTTATTATAATTAAAATTTATAATAAATAATTTTTTTTATCACAAATTATATTTTAAATTTATGAATAATAATCTATCTTGTGATATATAAAGTTAATTATTAATATTTTTAAAAATATCAAAACTTAATTTATAAATTAAAATTAAAAGATAAAT